TGGATGCGGAACTACATATGGCATGATTCCTGTAAGACCAGGGATATGTAGGCAGCTCGAAGCTAGGGCGCGGCCTAAACCTCCTCGAACCGTTGCGTTCGATCAAAATTGACCATCATATCTTTACCCGATAACTCTTTCATCCTTCCCGGGTAAAGAGAGACAGCTATTGATACCCAATTTTTTTGTATATTTTATTATGCAAAATACTTTCAAAATAGCATATGTATGCATATATAAGTATTTCCAAATGTTTTATTATTTTTCCTTAATTTTTAATATTTTTACATCGATTTATTGCCCTATTTCATCCATAAAACCCAATAATTATTCCCAAAATTATCATTTTGGTGATTCATTTATTGTATTCTGATATTTATGCTAAAATATAGGTAATCTAAATTTTGCATATTTTTACAAAGTCATTTAGTATTTTTAAAGTTAAATTGTATATAATTACAACATTAGCCTCTTTTAAGATTAATTACGTTTATATTCATAAATATTAGGTCTGGTATTTTTAAATAGTTAATTATGTGCTATAAATATTGGGTTTCTACGTGCTCGATTATTATGGTCTCAAAATCATCGGAGACCTATATCCACCTCCCATGGCTTCTACGTGCTCGATTATTATGGTCTCGAGGCTATCGAAAGAGCTTGGTCCGGGCTTGTTCGATTGCACTTCATGACTGTTCTCCAGTCGTCTCTGACTTTTTCTGCGGCCAGCCATGGCTATTCGAGTCAGACTCTTGACTCTCATGCTTAGATCGTTGGTTTTCAAAGCCTTTCTCACCACTTGGGGTTCTTCTGAAACCTTAGCCTTTAAGGTTTCTTCGATTTCTTTTTAGATCTGTTTCAGATCTATGCTTGCTCTGAACTTCTAAGTGTTTTCTCAAATTTTCTTTTAAAACTCTGCTTTCAAAACCCCTTATCTTTTCGATTAGGGTTTCTGTTAAGTTATTTCAAAATGTTTCTCATATTCTTTGACATGTTTGGCTATGTTTGCTTATATCGTTCTTCTACCTGAGTTTGCATGTTAAAACCCCTAGTTTCTTTTAACTGTTTACTAAATGAATGTTTGTTTGCCTGAATTTTGTCTGATTTGTTTGCTTATTCTCTTTTAAAACTTTCATATTGTTGAAAATCTGAGGGTTTTGGGTCTGAGACTATTCGTTTAAGTGCATGACTCGATTTGAAGTTCTTTATTTCGAAATATTTTACTCCCTTTGTGTGATTCTTCTGATTGCTAGGTTTCTATCTTCTCTAAAACTCAAATATGCTCGAAAGCCTAATTTTTCTAAAGGGGTTTTCCTCACCTGCTACTGTGAGACCTTGGCATGCTTTTGATATTCTATGTTTTCTTCACTACTTGACCTACTGGACTATCATGCTTCGAACGTTGCTATCTACTGAATCTTTGTGCTACTGTTGTGTGCTATTTCTTCTTGCCAACAGGCCTAGCCTCACATGTATAATGTTTATGCACCCTATTTATATGTTGAGTCTCCTTCTCTGACTAATTTTCAAACTCGTGACTAAGTTTAAATTTTTCCTTTGTGAGATTCTGATTTCACTCGCCTATTAAGGTTAATTGATTTCTTTCCTGTTTTGCCTTACTGAATCCTTTCCAAAATTAGAGTATCTCTGTACCTAGACACGAATTGCTTACTTGTTATTTTACTACTTCTTTTATGGAAACTTTCAGCCTGCTTTTTAATTGATTGCTTTCCTTATTTCGAACCTGTCACTGCCCGTTAAGCAAGTGACCCCTTAATTAAGGGCAATCACTTGTATAATTGATTCTGAATCATAATTGTTTCCATGTTTGTAGCTTATTACCTCTTTCTTACTCGTTTTCAAAAACTATAAATACCCGTTACTTCTTCTCTTTCAAAAACACGAACACTTTTAGTCCTGAACTCACACTTACACTCAAACACTCTCTCTTGCTTTACTATTACTTGTGCTACTGCCTGTTTAGCCGGCTGAAAGCCAAAGCTATATTTCGAAGTCCTGCTACTTTTCGTTACTGCACTTTGCTTCTTTGACTGGTATGTTCTAATTAAGTTTTTCAGCACCAACAACAACATGCTTACTTACTGATTTTGCATTCTTGTCTGCCTGTTGTTGTATTCAATTCAGTACCATTATTTAGCATGCTGTAATTTCCTTTCTCCTGTTCTGAATCAATGTATTATGAATCCCAAACCCCTGCCCCAATGTGATTAATACTTGTGGTTAGTTTGGGGCATGACATCATTGAATATTGCTGAGCATGACCCAAACTTGATCCTCCTAGGATCATAACCTCCATGTTACCCTTATATGTTGTGTGTTCTGGTTGATTTACAATCATGACAACACTCTCTATTGTTGTGCATGCCCAAAATTAACCCATGCCTAAGTATATAGGACCCCGTCTAAACACTTAGGCAAGATTTAGAGTAATACCTGTAAAATTGAATCCGCCTTTGTTAATTGTTACAACCACAAGCAGGCCTGATTCGGACTTCTTATCTGAGTTATGTAATAAACTAATCTGCCTCAACAATTAACTTCCCTCGTCTTTATGTGCTTTAAATCAGAACTAAAAAGTATGTGCAAGTCATGCTAGTTATGTGCTTTTGTTTTGAGGAGGTATACATGAGTCTTTTGTCTGTTTACATGCTTCCCCTTTATATGCCATATTATCTATTTTTGTATGTCGCCTTAGATTTTTTATCCTTTGAAACCAATCAGCCTAACATCCCCTCCCTTTAGGAATAATAGTCCTAAGTGCCTTCGGGACTGATAGGAATGGGACGGGTAATAGCATGCAATAGTAATCGAGACCAATCCGCACTGTAATACCTTAACGGGGTGGGAAGGGTAGATATGGATATGATGACCGGTGCGCTAATGCCACGTGTAACCTCTCTTTTGAGGAGTGATTACCGGGTATTGCATTGATGTGATCCATATTTTTGTAAACCTAGGACCCCCTTTCTTTATTTCCCCCTTCTTCTTTTTTTAAGCATTGTAACTCCTTGTTAAAAATCAGCTCTTTTAATTGCTCTTTCAAACTTTGTTTGCTTTCAAACTATTGTGCATTGAAATCCCTTCTTATTTGAGCCTTATCTGCTTATATGTTAATTGCACCCCAAATTCACCATAACTGTCTGGCCGGGAACCACACTAGTGAATCTTGGGGGGTGCCTAACACCTTCCCCTTGGGATAATTTCAAGCTCTTACCCAATCTCTGGTTACCCAAACAGACTTAGAATTGAATCTCTATTGGTGTTCTAATGCACCTTAATCATTAAGTGGCGACTCTTCAAATGCAAAAATCCAGTTCCCAAAAGGAACGAGTTGTCCTTCCAAATGTCATAAACCCGATTTCGCGAGAAAAAGGGGGTGCGACGGTAGATAAATTGCAGATAAAGTTGTATAATATATAATTAGTTGTATGAAATTTGTTTTTACTATATATAAATCAGATACAAAATATACAAAAGATATATTGTATAAAATTTGTATTTAAGTGGTATGAAATTGTAGTTGTATATAACTGGGTAAAAATAATGTATGAAAATTGTAGAAATAATGCTATATCATGGATCCTGCAATTAGCAATAGAACAAAATTGGCAAAGTATTTACTTGAATATTTGCTTGGTGAGACAAAGCGTTTTGTTGTACTTGTCTTAACGGGGTGATTCTGGTAAGGTTAAATTTTCTTTTTCGTTCTGTGAACCATTGCTAAATTGAAAAGAAGAATCGAGTCTAAAGGGATCAAAAGAAGGAAAAGACGGGATCAACCATGAAAAGAACTCGTCTGAAAATTATTTTCCCAAAAAACTTACTGATGTGATTTTTGTATCTTTTAAGTGGGAATTGGTATTTGGGAGAACTATACAAGAAATGACAGGGTGGAGAAAAATAGCTTCCATGATTACTGTATATTAAGGCGGAAGAAAAATAAGGAAAGAGAAGAGGAGGAAAAAAAGGAAAAAGGTGTAACTAAATCCCTTGATTGAAGACATAAATAATGGATTTAGGAGCCTTTTAAGGTGAATTGTATATATTTTGTAACTAAAATGTGATTAGATCGGGTAAATACCAAAATATGAATATTTTTCATAATAAGGTTTCAAATAGTGTATAGGAATGAAAAAATCCCTTTTTGATTTTGATCGTTGGCAACGGTCCAGAAATTTTTTTAAAAAAAAAAAATTGTAACCGTAACCAGGCTGGACCGGGCTACCCGGTAA